CCATAATATTTGCAGATTTTGTGAATAATAATCTTTTTTAATGGTAGAGTGTTTGTGGGAAAATTGAAGAAGAAATGAGAATAAAATTATGTATTAATCTCCTTAACTAATTTAGGAAAAGAATGAATATAATCTCTCGTTGTAATCTCTCTCTAAATGATTTAAAAAAAGAAATTATAATTCTTCTCTATTGGTATCCCGATTTACAAAAGAAGAAAGGGATCAATGGAGACCCCCCCCCCCTTTGTTTAAAACTGGGTTCTTCTTGGTGTTGATGGGAGCTTGATTCTTGTATCCCGTTGACGATCCGAACGCTTCGCCTCGTGGAACTTGGTTGATTCCTCTTGATGGAAAGAACTTGCAATGCAAGTTTAAAACTCCCACGAGTTTAGGAACTCTGAACGAGTTAAGGAACTCAGAACGAGTTTAGAACTTTGTAAAAGTGTTGATTTGATCTAACTGAAATCAGTTCACAGCCAAGGAGAAGAAAACTCCACGAACAGCTCTTGATGAGGCTCTAAATTCTCCTCTTTTTCGATCTCCAAAATCCAGCCGAAGATCTGCCAAAAGATCCCCAAAAAGATCTCCAAGCTTTTAGCTGCTGATCCCCATCCGCTCGCCAAAAAAATCTAAAGATTCGAAGATCAGCTGATTTTTTTAGCTATTTATAGGGGATTAAGGGGTGTAACTAACCCCTAAAATCACTCCCTAGTGGGGTGTAACCCCCCTCAAATCGTGGGAAACGGTTTCTGGAATCGTTCAACTCGTGTTTGAACAAGTCAAACGTAAAATTTGCATTCTGTGCACGAACTCTGCGCCCTGGACTTAGGACGTAGAGTTGGACTTTGCATTTGAGGTCAGAAACGCAGTGGTGAGCCTGTGTTTTGTTGTTTGGAACACAAAAATAAACTCTGCATTTTGAGTTTGGAACGCAGAGGTGAGCTAAGCGTTTTGAGTTGAAGAGACCATTGACTTGAAAGTCTATTTAGTTAGAGCGTTGCAAAGATTGTGATAGTCATCTCAGCTCCTTAGAATGTGAGAGTCGTCAATTGTAACTCCTATTGATGATTGTGAAGGTCGTTGAATCATAACTTTCATCGGTTGTTGTGAAGGTTGTTGCATTGTAACCTTCATCGATCGTTATGAAGTTCTGCAATTTGTACCATTCTAGAAGTCGTCTAATTGTAATTATTAGTGCCTGGTAGGGATCAGCCATCTGCAGTAATTTTTAGACAGTCTACATAGAGTGTTTAACAAATGAGTGATTTATAATTTATCATTATCGTTAAAATAATCAAAATGAACATGACTCTAAATTTAAGCATTGAAGAGAGATAAGCGAGGCTTTGGATTTTATGAAAAATGAGAGGTATATATAACTTTACATCTTTTTGTCGGAAATTATCATACTCTCTTTAAAAGCACGAGTTCGGAAAAATCTTTTGTTAGACAAAAATTCCCTTAAAATTCAAATTAATCCATTAAGTAAGAGTAAGTTGATAAATTGATGAATTCTTATTAGATATATATAGTATGAAGATAAGAATATAGTTTAAATTGAAATATAAACCTAAATAAAATTATTAATGACAAATTTACAAATGTATACAAGATAAATGACGTATATGCAAAAACCAAACAAATTAGTGAGACAAATAATGTCCATCCCAGAGGTCAAACCCCGAAACAACGCATACCTACAAATGTACATAATGTGGACGAGGTATTTGAAAAATTCACTAAACAAATTAAAGAGACAAAATCGTTTTTAAAATTATAAAAAAGGAAAATTAAAACAAACGGCTGCGATATGAGGACACAACATGGCGATCTCTCACCATCTAAAATTCAAGTAGTTCATGGTACTGCGTAATTAGTTTTAAAGTTTAATTAATACTATTATTATTTAAATAGAACTCTGTTTATAATTGTTATCCTCTCACATGTAACATCACATACCAATGTTTATAAGCCAAGAAACTACAACAATTTCCATAGTACTTTCATCTCCTTCTACATATATTTGCCTTTGTTATTTTTTTCTTATTAGATTAGATTAGATTATTTTAAAGCAATTAATTATATTGTGTATTTGATTTTTTTTCATATCAAGAAATATCAATAATTTTCACAGCATTTTCATCGATTTTCTTCTTATTAGATTAAATTAGATTATTTTAAAGTAAGTAATTATATTGTATGTTTGATCTTTTTCAGATCAGAAATTATAATAATTTTCATAACACTTTTACCTCCTTCAATAAATATATGCCTTTGTTATTTTTTCTTCTTAGATTAGATTAAGTTGTTTAAAAATTATGAATTATGAAATTGCAATAATTTTAACATCATTTCATCTATTTTCTTCGTATTAGATTAGATTAGATTATTTTAAAGCAATTACTTATATTGTATGTTTGATCTTTTTTTTTCTAGATCATAAAGTTTAATTATACTATTATTATTTAAATAGATACTGTTTGTATAAAAATCAAAGAGAATCTCACATGTATCTTAGATCTCAATGTCAATTGTAATATTTACACATTGGTGTTGGTTAAAATAAATTTCATGTATAAGATTAACTTATATAATCCTACTTTAACCGGATTAGATAATTTAATTTTTTTAACACCCAAACTTTTCCATGTGTGTGTGACCACAGATATCTTGAAAATGAACGAAGAAAACCACACAAACAAAAACCATATTAATAACCCGCATGCACCCATTGTTTTCAAGACCACCATTCTTCATCTCCATCTATTATATATCCACATACCAAATTAAGCTTCTGGAGTTTCCCCTCACCAACTACGCCATTGATCAACCCTCCTTTTTTTCTTTGTATTTAAATTATATAACATTCATTGCGATGATGACTCACATGGGTCCTCTGTCTGCCTTGAACGTCCAACAAAAAAATAGTACTAAGCCTTGTAGTTAAATAATAATGAGATCTCATCATATTAAACAAACTAAGTAAAGATTAATAATTCTAAAAAATGTACTATGTTTCCCTATCTTCTACTGCAAACTTGTTAGCTGTTTATTCCTGGGTCTAAGAAATTTTCAAAATAATCATCTATTTCATAATTTTTTTAAAAATGTTTAAATAAAATTTATGACAAATGTAACAATCCATGTTTATAGATTTTAACTTAAAATGAATCTGACTTATTTTATAATAAGAAAATAAACAAAAAAATAATTTTAATATTTAACTACGTGCATTGCACGTGCACAAGAACTAGTATGTTACAATAAGCCACTTATCAAAAACCTCAAAATAGCTTACAATAATCCACATTTGTGGGTTATAAATTGTAAGTCACTTTCAACACGCCAAAACACGTGAAATTCCCCAAAAATATACGGAGGGTTTTGCGAAAATTTGCAATGGTTCAATCTAGGACAAATTTTTGAAAACACCCGTTTTTAAACTTTATTTAGCAAAACCGACCGCTTCTGAAAAAAATCAGCAAAACCGACTGTCGGGACTAGCAGTCCCGTGCATAAATTTGTCAAAAAAAAAAAAATCCAAAATGATCCATGACAACCCACCCCTCATCATCTTCTCCGATCCTCCTCACTCACCTCGACGACTCACTGAAACTCCTAATGCCATGAGCAGGAGACAACGATCTCTCCTCATCAGAACCCTCCTCTTCCTCTTAATCCTCAACGCCATCTTCTTCTCAATCTACCTCCTCCTCAGCTCCCCATCCCCCAAAACCCTAGCCCAACCCCAAACCCTAACCGTAACTCTAAAACCCTAGCCCACCCTCCCCTCCTTCCTCCCCTGGACTGATCCTAACCCTAACCCTCCCCCTCTGTCCTGCGAGACCTACTTCGACAACAGCTTCTCGAACTGGGTCCAAGTTATCGGATCTGACAGCGGCAGCAGTGGTGGGTTCCTTCGGTGCTTTTATAGTGAGACGATGAGGAGCTCGATTTGGGAAATGGGTCATGTTCGGATGGATCCGGGTCGGATCCTGATGTCGAGGGGAGGGAAGAAGTCTGGACAAAGTTATTGGGGGGAGGGAGGAGAGGAGGAGCCGAATTTGAGGAGGCGGCGTTCGAGATCGAGGGGAAGGATGCGGGAGATGCCGGCAGGGCGGTGGATGATGAGTTTTCTTGATAAGTATGTGCGGAGGGCAGGTTCAGCAGCGACACTAATGAAGGCTTGGTGACGGGTGGGAGGATAAGTAGGTGAGGATGTGGAAGAAGAGGTCGGAGGGGTCGCGGCGTGATGGGGGGCGGTGAGGGGGGGGGGGTTGAAGATGGAGATGGGGACTTTTGTACGAGATCGGGGTTTTGAGCTCGTCCTCTCGAAGCTTGATCGATGTGTTCATATCTGGTCACGAAATGCACGGGACTAGCAGTCCTGTGCAGTTCGGATTTTTTTTAACAAAACCGACCCCTTTTATCTGAAAATAGTTGTTTTTGCTGATTTTTTTCAGAAACGGTCGATTTTGCTATATAAAGTTTAAAACTGGGTGTTTTCAAAAATTTGTCCTTCAATCTATTGTCAGAAAGCACACCGAAGATTTATATTTTGTCATTTTCAACCCTATTCACCTCGCATCCCCTTTTCCCCTCTCTTCTTGGGACAAATTTTCAAAACCGACCCCTTTGGGTTTTTAATTGCAAAAAATGACCGGTTTTAAAAATATTTACAAAAATCGACCTGTTTTCAGCCAGGGGCTGAAAACATGTCGGTTTTTTTAAATTTTTTTGGGAAACTTCACGGGAGTTGAACTCCCGTGAAGTTTTTCTCATAACAAAATTTCACGGGAGTTGAACTCCCGTGAAGTTTCGGAAAAAAAATTTCAAAAACCGACCCAGTTTCAACCAACTGGGTCGGTTTTTATAAATAAGATTGAAATGAGTCGTTTTTTGCAATTAAAAACCCAAAAGGTCGGTTTTGAAAATTTGTCCTCTCTTCTTGGGTTGCTATATTAAGTTCGGTGCTTTGACCGGGAAAAGAGAGAAAAGAGTACTGAAAAAGGAACACGAAAGGAGGAGGAAACAAAAAAACAAAAAAAAAAGAGCTCGAGCTCAGTCCTCATGCAATTCTAGGGTTTCACACGATCAAGAGCGAGAGAGGAGAGAGGAGAGAGGAGAGAGAAAGATGAAGTCTTCTCTGAAGAAGCTTAGGGGATTCGCTCTCAATAAGAACGACCCCAGAGAGAGGAGAGGGAATCGAGCCCCAGCTCACATCGACGAGCTCATCCAAGCATCAGAGGTACTCTCTTCGATTCGAATTTCGAGGATCTAGTAGTTGTTAGTTTTAGTGCATGAGAGAGAATCGATTGCTTTGAATCTGAATTTTTTTTTCCAAAATTTCTCAAAATTAGGGCAATTGACGTGCGAAGAACGAATCAATTTTGATTATAATTATTTGATTGTAGTCAAAATTCAGGTTTTGTCCCCTTTCAGTAGTTAATTCTGCTGAATACTGGCCTAGAATATTTCTATGCTTTCTTTGTTTCTTCCTACTGCCTTTGGTGTCGTTGTGAAGAACTTTGTTAGAGACGATTTAGTCCCACATTGGCCAAATTCAGCCAGTTGTGGATTGGTTTACGGGGATTTGGGCTGTCTCCCTCTAACAACTAGTTTTTAGGGATTTGGGTTCTCATTCTTATGAGCATAAAGTTTCCTGCTTGCCAGTTGCCCTGCTAGGTTCTACGTTTGTCCGCACTTTATGCTATATTTCCTCAGGTAGGAATTGGGACTACTCGAAATGTTTGCTACCATGTTGCCTTGGTAAACCAAATTCTTCCATAAAGCCTGATCGAGATCTGAAATGTTGCATAGATAACCTCGTTTAAACGAGATGGGGGTGTGATAATTATATTTAGAAATGCAGAAAATAAGCAGTTAAATGCAGTAAAAGATTTGATGCTGGTCGAACTGCACTTTACTAATGTATGATGTGATATTCATTGATGTGATATTCATTATATCATACATTGTTACCAAGGTCAAAACAAGAGCCTTAGCACACATACATCAATCCCATGGTAAATTTGGATGATGGGTCAAGAAGAATTTACAATTTTGGCTGACAAAATTCAATGCTGAATCTTCAAACTTGGTATGGAAACTTGGTTGTTGATACATGTAAGCCTCATCTGATATGCAAATATCTTCTAAAGTTTGTTCTCGATTTTCGGTGCAAACTTTTCAAATAGCCGTAGGGCATTGGACCTCATGGAATATAGGTTATTCATCATGTCTTTATTTATCATTACTCACATTATAGTTTCTCAAGCTTTGCTTATTTTTGTTTATTTTGTATATTTTGACTGAGAGTTCAAAAGCCACTTCTGAAAAAGGCTGTTTTTTCATATTCTTCCTTTGATGGTTGTATTTGAACTTAAAGTGGATAAGTGGGCAAATGATTTTTATTACAAATGTAGAGGTTCCTGAAATGTTATTTGATATCTATATATTCCTATAATAGAAAATTTATTTTGTTATAGATGTCCAAATCATGTTGCGTGTGTCGTGGAATGGTCTGAGTCAAATTATTAACAATAAAGTTTTAGTAATGAGACTAACTGAAAAAAACAAATCGTGTATAAACATACTTGGGTAGCTAAGAAGACAAACTTAAATAGAATACTTATGACTTTTAACTTTTCTGAATGATGCCCAGTTTGAAATTTGCATTTATTGTTTTTGCAGGACATGTCAGACATGAAGGATTGCTATGACAACCTACTTTCTGCAGCAGCAGCTACTGCAAATAGTGCATATGGTATTTCATACTTTTGAATTTGAATGCTTTCAGGGATTGAGTCTCTGTAAACTGATAAATCTCAAGGGGATGTTAAAAGATTGCATAAGAATCGTTCCGAAATAAATTATTCATTAAGTAGCAGCTGGTATGAATTTTTAATGCCATGATTTTTTCCTTGCTTGAGGTTTACTAATTTCATTTTGAGTATACTCTGTCAATAACCTGTGGTCTTGTAACTTTTTGAGTACTCACAGTTTGCTTTAAAATTTTACCTAAAAGTAACATTGTATGGATTTGGGATGCACAAACAACCTCATTTTGATGGGAGGAGCCTTAGATAATGAATTTTGCCAAAAGATATCTATTGGTTTCTTTTGTGTCAATTTTATACAATTTCAATATGCTCTATATATGCATGCCAATCAAATCTATGTGAAACTTTCACTAACATATATTTTACAGTTCAGAATGGTACAATCAAATGATAAATCTAGTTTTGTCATCTTTCTAAATGTTTGTTGTGTGTGGGATTTGCTTAAGGCAATCTGAAAAATTCAGAGTCTCAAGGGTAACAAGTTCCATCCTAGTGAACGAGATACAAATGTAGGTATAAAAGAATACAAAACTTGGGGGAATTCTAGAGTGTCAGTCCCTGCATCATTATGATATCACTTTTAAAAGAAGACAAATTTTGGGGGGATTATAGAGTGTCAGTCCCTGCATCATTATCAAATCACAAATCAATGCAACGATGCTAGTCTCGGCATCATATCATCATCAATTAATGTCAATGAAAGCATTTCAGGGGAAGCATTTCGGGGAAGTCCCTGCAGGATTTCTTTTGTCCTTGGAGATAGTTCACCACCGCCTGAGTGTGGCGGTGGCGAGGCCTCTAGGGAGGCAGATGAGATGTTGGAGGCTACGTGGGAGATGTAGTGATTAAGCAAGGAGGAGAAGAGGATGAGAGGGTTGTTGTCTGAGAATTGAGGGTAATGACGTGGCCAGTGGTACTTTAGTGATATTTTAAAAAATTGGTGGAGGCCCGGAGGGGAATTCACTGTGGGGTGATGTGGAAGCTAAGTTTTGTGTGCTGCTGTGTGGTGTGTGTGTGTTGTGGTGGGGGGGGGGGGTTGGGTCGCTGTGGGGGATAACGCTTTTTTTCTAGCCTAGGGGGCTGGACAAAATTTTCCATAAGTTGTATAAAAGTTAACAGCAGTGTTTAAAAAAGCAGAAGCGCAAGGAGAAATGTTAGACCTTGTAATGAAGTAAAGCATAAACTTCAAAGCGTGAGGCGTACGACTCATCCGTTAAGTATTTTAGTTCTAAAGTCTGTAAAAAGTATGAACATATAATATATAGTGATATAATAGTTTACAAGTGATACATTCATGTCGTGATTATCAAATAAGAATTAAGTATGTGAAGTATAGGCGTAAGTCATAATCTAAATTGCATAAAAACGGGTACAGTTACACTTACCGGTACGGGTGTGGGTATAGGTACGGGACACGTAAATTTATGAAATGTAGGGTACAAGGATACGACTACATATGTATATCGAAATTAATAATGTACATGAGATCATTATTATTATTTAGTTCATGTGCTATTTCTTAATTTCCTATTATATTGTTAAGTTTTTTTATTATGTTGATTGTTATAAATTGGAAACTGTTGGTTTTTTAACTAGACACTTAAACCACTCTTTAAATCATCGTTTTTTAACTTGAATATAGGCTGAAACAACCAGACCCTTCTCTAACGAGTTTAAAAAAAATGGGCATGAAGAGTAGGATATATGTCCAAGAAGTGTATGCCAAGTGTTTTAAATTAAAACATATATCGTATAATTGAATACATGTCTGGGTAAATGTATGCATACATTCAAGGAGTGTCCATGAAGTTTGGGTACTGGGAAGTGTCCGGTACGTGTCGGGTATGGGTACGGCTTCATGATAGAAGTACCCATGTAACATAGGTCATAATAAACTAAGCTACCTGCATAACATGTATATCTTATTTACACATTGTCAGATTGAAGATACATAGCAGCATTTGAATGCTAATAAAAAAATCCTTTTATACCTCCTATCTTGTTTGAAGCATGCACTTCAAAAGAGAAGCATCTTATGACGGGCGAAGCGCACACTTCAGTTATGCTAAGCGATGAGGCGTAAGCTTCAAGGGATAAATAGTTTCTCTCTTGAGCTTCGAAGCATTTAGCCTTCAAAAAGTTCCGATGCGCGAGTTACGAAAAAGCTTTTACAAACATTGGTTAACAGTTGGTTTTCAACAATAGAGTATATATTTCCTTGCTTAAATGATATATCTTGCGGTTTATGATCGGTTAGGCTTCATACAATCGACCATGTCCAATGAATCAATGATAGTCATTTTTATTCAGTACTGCTATTTTGGCATTCACATAGTCACTTTTATTCAATGCCACTGCGTATTTTGGCATTCACAATCCAATACCTGCTAAATTTTGTAGGAATGTATTATTCTCGATAAATTTGGTCCATTTTTAGAGGGTTGCTATACTAAACGAAATGACTGTTCATTCATCAGAGATTACGTTGACCTGATAGGAAAGTTTGAAAAACAGAGATTCTTCGTGAGCATGATAGTGCATTAAGCCTATGGCAATGATTCTGAATTATCAGGGACAGATCCTTCTTTCTCACACAAACACGTAAATTAGGACTTTTTATTGCCGTCCATCAGTCATCAGCTTTCCGTAAAAATCAAACCAGTATTTTGTATATTACATTTTGATTTGGTATTTAACGGGGTATTGAGGTCCTTCCTTTTCATTATCATGTGAAGTAAATGTTGCAAGTGTTTCATTATGCTTTTCCTTGTGTGATCCTCTCAGACCCATATGTTCTTGCAGAGTTCTCAGAAGCCCTTCGGGAAATGGGTACTTGTCTACTTGAGAAAACTGCACTGAATGATGATGAGGAAAGTGGTGAGTATTTCTGTGCAGTATTTTCCTGTCATACGTGAATTCTAAGTCAAAAAAGGAGAAAATTGAAAAAAAAGAAAAAAAAAGACTAGGTTGCTATAAGTTGATGCAACACTGACTGTAGAATGAGACGATATATTTAGACAGTAACAGTACTGTTCCAAGGGTACTTTTTGGATGGGCCTCTCTGCAAATATTTTGTCAATTTAATTTTAGTTGAATTTATATTAGCACTTGCGATTTCTTCTTTGGTTTGCTAGCGTATTTTCACCAGAATATCCCTAGGAGCCTTCTTAATGATAAAGATCATATTTTCTCTTAAGAAAATCTATATTGAAAAATGTTGGAAGTGCCTTTTCAACTACCGAGTAAGTACTTATTTCACCTATGTGTATCTTATGTTGATTGTGAATGCCCTTAATCATTAAGTTTCATTGAGCATGCAGGTAGGGTTTTGTTGATGATGGGGAAAGTGCAGTTTGAACTTCAGAAACTTGTTGATAGTTATGTGAGTTCCATCTCTAGTTCTAGACATATCATACCTTGTACGCTTGTCATTTTGATCTTCAAAAGAGTTCTGAAATATCAGCAGTGCGATAATTTCAATATTTTCCATTTCTCAGAGGGTGCATATCATCCAAACTATTACAACTCCATCAGAGTCTCTTCTAAAGGAGCTCCAAACTGTGGAGGTTTGTTCGCGATTTGATCTTTTTCTCTAGGAACTCAGACATCACTTATTTTTGTGACTTTTTGAAATGAATGTAGAATTTTCTGCTTAGCAATAGAGTAACATTGTTATTGCATGTGTGACTTGCTGCATACCAAATGAATATGCTACACATTTTTATATGATTAAGTTGGTTGCCATGGTCAGCCTAAATTATGCTCATTGTTATGGAAATATTTGTAGGCCTGTACCGTATTTTTAATCTAAAACAGAACTTATCAGAGATCTAGTGCTCTCTTCTAATATAAGCATGTTGAATACCTAGCGCCTAGCTTCTAGGTGGTACCTAGGTTGCCCACCTAGGTTTTAGAAGCGCCTGCCCACCTAGGTTTTAGAAGCGCCTATGGGAGCATTGTTTGCTTACATGGACTACACCCTTTAGACATTGATCTTGATTTCCTCTATTGCAGCCACTACGTCCTCTAAACTCCAACTATGAACACCTCCTCAATCTCTCCCGGCCTTCATCAAAACCTCCTCCACCACCACTTAAGAAATATGTCTAGGTGCCAGTCCAACGCCTAAACTTTCTATAACATTGGCATTTACTATCAGCAATTATAATTAAAAACTAAAAAGTAGGACAACGCCTAGTCCCCGCCTAGGATTTCACCTAGGCGCCTCGGCTCTAGGCATCGGGTCCAACGCCTAGCCCGCCTAGCGCTTTCTTTAACCTTGGTTACAACTTACAACTGTCTGAAAGTGATTAAACAGTTTAAGACCAAAAATTATGCCAGGTAGCTGCTTGAAGATTCACACTTCATAGATCTGTAAGGTTGAAAAGAGAGAGAGAGTCTAATGTTTGTTGTATTTCATATCTGTGATCTGGATCCAACTCCATGATCTGTGCAATTGTGCATGCTGTCCAATTTCAGGCCCAACCCATGGGCCTACCATTTTATTTTTTTCAGACCCTAACAAGTGATACAATTAGGTTAACTAGGCTAGAAGTTTTCATATTTGAAGTCTGATTTCCATCAATACCTTTAATTTTTTTAATCATATTTCTGGTTTGAATTTGAATTTCCTTTCATATCAATCTCACTTCTATTGGCAACCTTGTCCTGGCAAGCTTCTTTCTGAATCCAGCCTCCAGTTCTAAGATAAATAAAAAAGTCTGGGATGTTGATAAAATTGGTAGAGCTTTTAGGTTTACTGCATTATGTTCTGACCGATGGAAGTTTTGTTCATATCTTTTTGCTAATTGCTGACATCATAATGGTTTCAATTCTAAGATTTTTCTTGGATTTTTCTTTTCTGTTTACTAACTGAATGTACAGGGAAAATTTTCTTTGTTATTCTTTCTAGAGATAATAAACAATTCTGTTAATGAAAAAGCAGAAGAAAATGGTGTTCTTTTAATATTTTAATATGAAATTTCCCCCAATGCAGGAGATGAAACGTCAGTGTGATGATAAACGGTAAGATATTAGTATGATTGTTCATATTTTTTTGGCCATAGAAGTCCCCTCTTCTCATTTAGTCTTTTATATCAGAGATGTGTATAAATACATATTGGCGGCACAGAATGAAAAGGGAAAGTCAAGAAGTTCCAAAGGCGAAAGCTTTTCGTTACAGCAATTGCAAGAAGCTAAAGAAGATTATGAGGAGGAGGCAAATTTGTTTGTCTTTCGCTTAAAATCGTTAAAGCAAGGGCAATCTCACAGTCTTTTGACACAGGCTGCTCGGCATCATGCTGCACAGGTGGGTTCTTAACTAATAGTTTCGAAGCATATCTTTTTATCTATCGAAGCAGGAACTTACGTAATATTTCACTTTTTCCCTGTGTGGGATCAGTTAAATTTCTTTCGGAAAGGAGTCAAGTCACTTGAGTTGGTTGAGCCGCACGTCAAAGTGGTTGCTGAACAACGACATATTGATTATCAGTTCAGTGGACTTGAAGATGATTACACAGAGGATGACAATGACAATAGTGATGATTATGATGGCAATGCTGACGGGGAATTGAGTTTTGATTACGGAGCAAATGACCAAGGTCAAGACGTTGTCTCCTTATCCAGAAACTCGATGGAGGTAATAAATTCTGTGTTCCTTTTGTTTACTAGTTACTTTCTTTGATTAATTCTGGTATTTCTACTTAATGTCCTACTCTTTTGCAGTTTAACTTTAAAATATGGGTGTTTGTTTGTCCTGACTGTAATCGTGTTTCTAGGATTTTGTCAAAAGCAAGAAGATGGATATTATAATCCAGTTTAAGTTAAATATTTAGTGAAGTTTTCAAATTAAGCCACTTGTTATCATTTGAAATATTTTTGGTAACAGATTAGTGTGGAAGAGAACATCCACCTGGCTGCTGCATGACTGTAACATGTAACCATTGGCTAGCTGTTGGCTAATACAGTCACACCACATTTTTTAGAAGAGCCTTTATCATTCAAATTATTTAATGCATCCTTTTTTTTTCCTTTTATATTTGCTTTAAAATTTTACCAGTTGTAACGGTCAGCAAGCAACCGATCGTAACAGCCCCCCCCCACCCCCAAAAAAAAAATCTTATGAGAGTAGGGTGTAATTTTTTTTTCTGAACAAAGATAAATTCTCGTGGTATTTGCGATTGGTCATCAGAAAATGGGACGCCCTGAATGTTTTGCAATGACAATACATGGCATAAAAAAGATCAAGTTTTCTGGGTTTTTTAACTTACCAGAGGGTTTGCTAGAGGAGCAAGAGTGAAAGTACTTGAAAGGAGGAAAATAGATATTTGTTAACTATAAATTTTTAATAGGTATTAGTCCATGACACAAGCATGAGGTTATACTGTAGGCATTAATTATCATCAGCCAGAGCACTTAACTGTTTAATTTCTGTTTACTAGAAGATAAAACTATTAGAAAAATGTGTATTTAGAGAATTCAGAGTTAGGTGATATGTACAATTTACTAAATAATGCTGAATAGCAGCCTAGCACTAAAAAGAACATGAAACTGGTCAACCAGTCCTAAAATAACTTCGAGAACATTAACTACTTCAATTCTAATAATAGTAAATAGTGGCACAAAAGTATGTAGACATAGAGCTGGAGGAAAAATATATCATTTAATCCCTTTCAACCAAATGAAAGAGCACCAATTCTTTTTTCATGAGCGGTTTCATTCTACATTGGTATAATGATTATATCTAATTTTTATGCTTGTCCATCTGATTATATGACAGCATTTTGTTAACACTGATTACAATTTACATTGTCTGGTATGATTTCAGTTCTCCTAAAATTATTTCTGAAGTACAAGGCCTTTACAACTTTTGTTCAGGAATCTTATGAATGGTATTTGTACGAAGTATGTGATATTTTTGAGATTTTACTGAAAAGGGAACCTGATACAGCCTAAGCATAAAAGGTGTAGTTATGACCTATGACCTAAGTTGCATGGATACGAATACAGGTACTCGTACGTACATGAATAAAAGGTGTAGTTATGACCTATGACCTAAGTTGCATGGATAGTTATAATTAATATGCAAGTTATCATGCAAGAGACATGTAATGGAACGCCCTAATCATAGCTTCAGCTCTGAATAAAAGTTGTATGCAGTTCCTAGAGACGGTAATTTAAAGATATTAAGGATAAAATACTGACAATTTGGCATAACTGTGGGGAGGCCACATAAAAACTATATTTTGGGAATCTATATATATACATATCATGTAAATTGTCTAGAACCATTGCTAAACAGTTTTTACTGGTGGAGGAAAACTGTGATGTACCTTTATCACTTCACAATTCAAAACTACTACTACATTGTAGACATGTAGAGATTAGTTATTTTTCATCGTAGAAAACTATGCAGCACTGTTCACCATCTGTTACTTTTTAGAGATCATTTATGTTCACCATCTGTTTTGTTTTTTCAGGAAGGTTTAGACAGAAGTCAGATAGATTTTGCGTCTTTCACAAGGAGGCCAAGGTCTGTTAGCCAATCGGCACCAATTTTAGCTAATAAATTTGAATCATCTGAAAGAATAGATCTCATACGACCTTCATCAACAAGAAAATCCAACACATATGTTTTACCGACACCAGCAGATACAAAGAGATCACCTTCCCCACCGGAGCCAAATAGGCTTGTGAAAGATATAAAAAATGAACGGTCAGGTCCCCCCAGAATACCTAAAGCACAGTCAATTCTCAAAGAGAGCAATACAAACAGTGGGCTTATCAAATTACCACTTCCATTGGCCGAAGGGTTTTCACTATCGCAGTTTGATTTTCATAGTACTTCAGAGACTAATAAAAAGATTAAAAGGCCATCTTACTCGGGTCCACTGACTACCAACAAAACTTGGTCTAGCAAATCAACATCTTCTGCAGGTGAAAATCCTCCTCGTATTTCTCTCCAGCAATCTCTATCTCCAAAAGTATCGCCAAGCGTATCACCTCCTACATTGTCACCAAGAATCAGCGAGGTTCACAAACTTCCGAGACCTCCAACCATTTCTCAGAAACCTACGAGACCATCGAGCTTGGTTGGCCATTCAGCCCCTTTGGTGCCTAGGGCTCAAGAGTTTCATTCTGTAACCAAAAAGCCAACAGTTCCATTGCAGAAAGGATCGCCGCTACCGACCCCACCTGTAATTATGGCCCGTAGTTTTTCTATACCCTCTAGTGGGCAAAGAATACCAACTAAATTGTTGGACCATCATACTGACATGAATAAAGACAGTTCTTCACCTACTTTGACGCCTATATCTCTCACAAGTAATCAATCAGCTTCGGAACAAAGTCGTTATATCTACTGAGCCGAAAGGTGAGAAACATCGAGATTTATTCCTTATGTACATGTTCATATTCTAGAGCAAAGTTATTGTTACTTTTTCTTTTTTTGTTGCATGTGTCCTGGAGTAATCTAAATTTGTCTTATTGATGCGGTCACAATTTTTATTCTTAAAGAAAACAGCAACATTTTATTTGCGTGCATTACTGCTGATTCTTGCGTGCGTGCTTACTAATGACGGGAGGTTGGATGGCAAGCTCAACTTATAGTTAGTTTACACAGATGATGATACGACGACTATCTGAAGAGGAAATGAGGGTGCATTTCTTGGGCCATAATACCTCTGAGTGTTAGAGTTGCTTCATTCTTGAAATAGATCATGAATCTTTGCATATGCTGGTAACATGATTCAATTTGACATGAATTGATTAACTCCATCTAGTGGCTTTCACAAAGTTATTTGTCTTATCTTTGGAGATTCTAGAGAGGGTAGTTTCTCAATGACAAGTCATCAGACCCAGTGCTCTTAAAACTTTGAAACTTTTTGATGTTGCAAAGGATATGAAGGGTTTGCTGTTGATGGATTGTAGTCCCTAAAGCAGTGGTACTTTCATGATAATAATTAAGTTTATAGTGAAATGAGGTGAAAACGATACCGTGACGACATATACTCGTAGATGTTATATTAGTGGTATAAATCCATGTTGTTTGCTGGGATCAAAAGTTTATTCCTGCTTCACATATCTAGTTAGTTCAAAATTGGGCATTCAATATGTAAATATGTTTGATATTCTTTGTGCATCACTGGTTTCATTTGCTTGCTGTGTGTTCCAGCTAATTTATGGTGTTATTTCAGGTTTATCATGATGATGCCCTGCTCTTGCTGATAGAATCCCTCAAGGTGTCAGCGATTCAGTTGGTTGGTGTACATGAAAACCTGTGCATTCTTACTTTTCGCCCCCTCCATAAATGTCCACTTATGTTGTCTATTGATATGGTTAAGATCAAGTGCTGATCCTGTCCAAATAATGTATCTCTTCATAGTTAAAAAATTTTGTTTCCAGTGACTCACAATGCTCTCTGTCTCATTCTGATAAAATATGAATAATTTCTGTTCTCGTGTGCTCGTCATTGTCGATACAGAAACGTCTCAGTTTAAGCTCTTAGAAGAGGGCATTGCTACGAGATGATGAGAAGAAATTTGTAATTTGCATTGCTACGAGATGAAGAGAAGAAATTTGTAATTTGCATTGCTACGAGATGAAGAGAAGAAATTTGTAATTAGCTTAAAGTTTGATGATTTTGGCACAGTTTGTTCTCAAGTTTTAACAGGTTACCATACTAAATAAAGTGAGAACTATCCTTCATATTTTTTTAGTGCTTCTTTTTCAGCATGTACTTATTGGAGTTTTTTTTAATCATATTTGCAGGTCGTAAATAGTAGTATTAAGGAAAATAAATTGGAAGTTTTCTCTGTGCTAGGATATGGGATTATTTCCCTTGGTTGCAAGGAATCTGGGTTTTGTAGCTCTATCATCGGAGTTGAAGAGAAAATGAAAAGATTTTGATCTCTAAGACATCTCCAATCTGCTTCCGTAGCCTTGCTTTAAATCTCAAAAACAGATTATAGTTTCCTTGTATGATGAGGAATAACAAGTTCATTAATAGAAGTGTTAGGGTCTGCAAAATCCCATAATTAGGGTTGGAAGCAAATTGAATCAAATACTAAGATATTTTTTATCCAAATTTGAACAAGCAAATTGAATCAAATACTTGTTCATGCTTTTTGTGATTGCCTTTGAAAGAACTTTTCTAGAAAGATCAATCTCGCATTACATGGCTTGAGATGCCACTATGCCACTACCGGATCATTCCTTCCCAAGGTCTATCTTAAAACCTTTATTTTTATTTTTGATTCTGAGTCCAACTGGATTCGAAGAAAAGAAACTTCCCTTATTCTTTTAGGTTTTATTCTATTTTTTGTTTTTCCATATCAAGAAGTTCTCGAGAGAGATCGTACGAGGACATTCAACATTGGCCTCAATAAAGCAAAACAAGTTGTCTAAGTCCTGATGAGAATTCCTGTTTGGTGGATGAGGTGAAATCACTGAAGGAAGAGTCGGTCAAGCTTCAAAATAAGGTGGCAAATGACAAGTGTACATTTGACTCTTCGGAGGCTAATAGCTGAAAGTGTCAGCTTAAATGAGGGTTTTGATAAATAGTCCTGAATATTCTAAAGTATTTATTGAATGATAAATTATATTCATTTTGCTAAAAAAATTAATTTTTAAATAGTATTAAATTTTGTAATTTAAAATTATTTATTCATAATTATGATGTATTCATATTTAATTTGAATAATTCGTTAGAAAATTTATTTAAGACTCATTAAATCTCTCATAATTAGTGTATAGAACTTAGGTAGAAAATATGAGTAGGTTGAAAGTATAACATTATTTGTGTAACAATACAAATTAGAAGCGATCAAATTTTAAACGGATATTTGATAATCAAACAAATCGAATATACATCTAGTTAAATTCTAGGGAAAATTGTGTCAACGCCCCAATTTTAAGAACCCTATGTGACTAGTCCCTTCAAACTTTTTCCCGTGTGTTTTAGCCCTAAAACCTAAAAAAAAAAGTGAATCGGCCCTTATTCCCTGCCAACTAAGTATAGAAAGAGAACTAAAAATAAAAATAAAAATCTCAAAATTCCCTTATTTCCTCATCCTCTCTCTCTTCTCGCCAAATCTAATCTCCATGGCTCCTTCTTCCTCCTCTCCTCTCCTCTCCTCCACTCTCCTAACCCATCCCCTCCTCTTCTCTCCCTTCCTTTTTCTCTCAAACACCAACACCCCCTTCGCCATCATCGATTTGGATGCATGCTCCGGCCATGTTGTCTCCTTCTTCGGCCTAGCCCTCCACCACCACCAACCTCGAGCGCACTCTCCTTCCTCCTCTCTCTTCTCTCCAGATCTAATATCCATGGCTCCTTCTTCCTCCTCTCCTCTCCTCTCCCCTATCTCCTAATCCATCTCCTTCCTCCTCTCTCCCTCTTCCTCGTTTTTCTCTCAAATCTCCTTCGCCACCACCGAGGTGCACGCTCCGGCCATGTTGTATTGGGTTAAATAAGTTTAATGTCTTGTATGTTAAGTCTATTGGGTTAAGTAATAAGTCCAAGGGCTTATATGTTAACTGTATTGGGTTAAATAATAACTCTAAAGGTGGAATATTAAGTCTAATTTATTGAATGTTAAGTGTAATTTGTTACATATGAAGTCTAATGTGTTGTACGTTAAGTCTAATTGGCGTGATGTTAATTCTAATTAGAGGAATGTCAAGTCAAATAAGTTAAATGTTAAGTCTAATTAGAGGAATATCAAGTCTAATAAGTTGAATGTTAAGTCTAATCAGAAGATTATCAAGTCTGATCTATTGAATGTTAGGTCTCATTTGTTAACTCAAATTGGTTCGATGTTAAGTCTATTGTGTTGAATAATAAGTCCAATGGCTTGTATGTTAAATCTATTAGGTTGAATAATAAGTTTAAACGTGGAATGTTAAGTGTAATGGATTATATGGTAAGTCTAATTTATTGAATATTAAGTGTAATTTGTTACATGTTAAATCTAATGCGTTGTAGGTTAAGTCTAATTAGCGTGATGTTAATTCTAATAAGGGCATTTTGAGGTTTTTTATTTTTTTTTCTCTCTTTGTGCCGGAATTTTGAGGTTTTTTATTTTTTTTTCTCTCTCTGTGCTTAGTTGGCAAGAAACAGACTCAACTCTATAGACTTAACATTCAACCAATTAGAATTAACATCAAGCTAATTAGACTAACATACAACACATTAGACTTAACATGTAACAAATTACACTTAATATTCAATAAATTAGACTTAACATATAATCCATTACACTTAACATTCCACCTTTAAATTTACTATTCAACCTAATAGACTTAACATACAAACCCTTGGATCTATTATTCAACCCAATAGACTTAACATAGAACTAATTTGAGTTAACAAACGAGAATTAACATTCAATATATTAGACTTGACAATCTTCAGACTAAACTTAAAAATGCCCTTATTAGACTTGATATTCCTGTAATTAGAATTAACATTAAACATATTAGACTTGACATTCCTCTCACTAGAATTAACATGGGAAAGTTTAGACTTAATATTATTTTTATTACAAATAAAATGCTTTTCATTTGATAAAAAATATCTTCCAACTAGGTTTAACATTTAACCGATTAGACTAAATATTCAACTCTATAGATTTAACATTCAACCAATTAGAATGTATTAGACTTAATATGTAACGATTCACCTTTAGACTTAATATCTTCCAACTAAACTTAAAGTACAACGTATTAGACTTAATATGTAGTAAATTACACTTAATATTTAGCAAATTAAACTTAACATATAATCCATTACATTTAACATTTCACATTTTAGACTTATTATTCAATCCAATAGACTTAACATACAAGCCATTGAACTTCACTTTCAACTCTATAGATTAAGATTCAATCAATTAGAATTAACATCACGCCGACTAGACTTGACATATAACGCATTAGACTTAACATGTAACAAATTAAACTTAACATTCAATAAATTAGACTTAACATATAATCCATTACATTTAACATTCCATCCTTAGATTTATTATTTACCCTTAACATACAAGTCATTGGACTTATTATTCAACCAAATAGACTTAACGTACAAACCCTTGGACTTCACTTTCAACTCGTTAGACTTAACATTCCACCTTGAACTTAACTTAACATCAAAAAATTAAAAAAAAAATCACATTTAGCCGACATTTCTTTAGATTTTCATCTTTTCACGATGTTCAAACAAAATTACAAAATTTTTTAAAAAACCCGATAGCTTATTGAATGTTAAGTCTCGTTTGTTAACTCAAATTAGTTCTATGTTAAGTCTATTGGGTTAAATAATATATCCAATAACTTGTATGTTAAGTCTATTAGGTTGAATAATAGATCCAATAGCTTGTATGTTAAGTCTCTTGGGTTGAATAACAAGTCTAAAGGTAGAATGTTAAGTGTAATGGATTATATGTTAAGTCTAATTTATTAAATGTTAAGTCCATTACACTTAACATTATACCTTTAGAATTATTATTCAACACAATAGACTTAACATACAATCCCTTGGATCTATTATTCAACCCAATAGACTTAACATAGATCTAATTTGAGTTAACAAACGAGACTTAACATTCAATATATTAGACTTGACAATATATTAGACTTATTAATTACAAAATTTTATTTTTCTCTCTCTTTGTGCTTAGTTGGCGAGAAATAGACTCAACTTTATATACTTAACATTCAACCAATTATAATTAACATCACGCCAGTTAGACTTAACATACAACGCATTAGACTTAACATGTAACAAATTATACTTAACATTTAATAAATTATACTTAACATATAATCCATTACACTTAACATTCTACCTTTAGACTTATTATTCAACCCAATAGACTTAACATACAAGCCTTTGGTCTATTATTCAACCCAATAGACTTACATAGAACTAATTTGAGTTAACAAACAAGAATTAACATCCAATATATTAGACTTGACAATCTTCCAACTAGACTTAAAAATGCCCTTATTAGACTTGATATTCTTGTAATTAGAATTAACATTCAATATATTAGACTTGATACTCTTATAATTAGAATTAACATTCAATATATTAGACTTGACATTCCTCTCACTAGAATTAACATGGGAAAGTTTAGACTTAATATTATTTTCATTGCAAATAATATGCTTTTCATTTAATAAAAAGTATCTTCCAACTAGGTTCAACATTTAACTGATTAGACTTAATATTCAACTCTATAGACTTAACATTCAACTAATTAGAATTAACATCACGCCAACTAAACTTAAAGTACAACATATTAGACTTAATATGTAACAAATTACACTTAATATTAAAAAAATTAGACTTAACATATAATCCATTACACTTAGCATTTCACCTTTATACTTATTATTCAATCCAATAGACTTAACATATAAGCCATTGAACTTCACTTTCAACTCTATAGACTTAATGTTCAATCAATTAGAAGTAACATCACGCCGACTAGACTTGACATATAATGCATTAGACTTAACATGTAACAAATTACACATAACATTCACTAATTTAGACTTAACATATAATCCATTACATTTAACATTCCATCATTAGATTTATTATTTACCTTAATCGAGTTAACATACAAGCCATTGGACTTATTATTCAACCCAATAGACTTAACGTGTAATCTTTGGACTTCACTTCCAACTCGTTAGAC